TATTTTTATCAACTAACAAGATTGGAAGAAAAAAATCTTAATTAAGGACCGCACCTAAACTATGACTACTGAACCATTTGCTTTAGTTATTTTGAAAATCTACCTAAAATCTTGGGAGAATGTCAGAGTTGCTCCTAATCTGGACTTGTCTAAAATGTGATTAAGCCATGAAACACTCCCGTCTAGACACAGTGTTACTGTATTAACATTAGCCAGAATCTTAGATTCTAGATTTCTTCTTACTTTTTTGTAATCATAAAACACTTGGCAGCCTCCTGAAGGTACAGCATAAGTTCAGACGACTCTAACATTGTTCAGTTTATAGTTTTAAGACCAAAAAATGGAATAGCTTGTTGATGTTGTCATTTGATATGCATGTATAGAAAAGCCACATTCACATTGTGCCAACAGCAATCACATCTCCAGTCCCCAATTAAAATGTGACTTTTTAAACTCCAAAAGCTCCATGTGACAGTTGAGCCATCTGTTTAATGAAACTACCACCACTGATTTGGGTGTAGATAATTACTACAATAAGAACAGTGCTGGGGAAAGATCAACTCATCCCAGTTGAGAGTGACAGTTAATTATGAAGAGATAATTGGTGGGGGGACGTTAGCATTATCTCATCTCCAGGGATAAAAATGGTAACATATTTCAGTCTAGGTACAGATCATGTAGAGTGTATGAATACATACATTTCAGGATCTTATTTTAAAATCTTCAAAGATACATGCCAAATAGTATATTTACCGAGCTGTATTCAAACAAAGGGAGACATATTGGTTTTCATAAGCTATCTATTGAATTGCTTGCATTTGAGATTTTTTTGTCAAAATATTCTTATCTCAAGTTATTAGATGGAAACTTTTGTGTTTTATGGCCCCTCTTACTAATGTAAGAGGGAATCTTCAGTACTCATTTCTGCTGGAATCCATGGCTACAGCCCTTAACACACTGCTGATCATCTACCAGGAAGATCCTAGCTCAGTGACAGTGGAATGGGCTCCCGGCTCTCAAGGGCACTGCAGGAGAGGCCCAGGGAGAATGGTTCTCGGGACTCATGCTAAACAATAGTTTTAAATTTCTCTGTGACAAAATTGCTTTTGTAAGGACCAAAATTGATTAATTTTCTTCTCCTTATTACTTTTGAGCTATGAAATAGATAAGAGCCAAATTACAAAGGAAAACAAAGCAAAAGACTCATGTTTAGTTCTGTATAACCAGGTACAGGTAACTGAGTTCTGCATGTATTGAGGAGCATTGATGTTTATTATTCATTCATCAGTATTAGAACCAGGGGGAATTCTAGCAGGATTGCCTCACAGGAAAAAGAATTTCTCTTCCTGCCTCCTCATTCTCATTTTGGGCATGAAATTAAGCTTTCTAACATTTCATGTGCACTTATTTCTTAGCACTTCCAGTTTCTCCAACATGAAAATCTTATGAATTTATATTGTATCCATTTAGAACATGTGGCAGAACTTAGATAAGTTAAATTTCATCTTTGTGTTAATGAAAAAGTTTTGAAGAATTAATAGGAAAATATATGAGAATTTCAGTCACTTTAAGAGGAGAAGTATAGGGAGATCCTAATATATTATTTGTTTAAATGCAAAATGGAGTTAGCCGTAAAATGGATTCCTCTCCAGGGATGCATAGTATTTAACAGTTCTAGCTTTATTTAAGCCCACTGAGGCCTTAGTTATAAATTGAGAATGATTCTTTACTAGGAATTATAGGAATTATTCCCAGTTTATCATCAGAATTAGATATGAACCCAGGTGTTTCCAAATACGTGGCTGTGTGATCTTTGGCCAGTTTTATAACCTCTCAGAATTTTTATTTGTTTTTCTCTAAAATATTAGTAATATAAGTACTTTTCTCAGGCATTGTTTGGAAGACTGAACTAGATAGTGAATCTAAGCTTTTTTTATATTATTTCTTGTACATCCTAAGCACTCAATATGAATTGGGTATTATTATTAATATTTATCTTAAAATTAGGGTAACACTGGTTTTCTACTTGGAGGCACATATTTTATTAAGAGGTAATAAATTCTTTGAAAAATACACATATAGTCTGTAGACTGTAATACAGGTTTTATGTATTCATTCTGCCCTTCTCCCCAATGAGTTTGAATCAGTATCATTACTACAACACATACATGTAGAGGACTACCTTTGGTCTGCTTTTCAGTTGTTCACTGTAGTGTATGTATGTGAGGATTTTTTCTAGAATATTTTATATTGTTAATGATAAATTCTGTGAAAGTACTAAGTATACAACAGAATTCAGAATAGTGAAAGGCTTGGGAATCAGGTAGACATGAAGCCTGTGTCTGTATCAAGCTCAGTTTGTCATTTGGCGAATCACTTAACCCATTTGGGTTTCAGTTTCTTCAAATTTTAGAGAAGAGACTGAATGACTTCTATAGCTATTTGCAGTTGCCCAATTATGATTCTACAATAAACTCAGAACAATAACTGCATTTTCAGATTCACACGATTTGCCTACTGGCTGTGTTGATATGTGCTTTGCTTGCTTCCACTAAATTTTCCCCACATAATAGGAAAAAGTGTAGGACTGCTTTATCTTGAAGTTGATTTTACTCCCAAATCTTAAAATAGTAGTTTACCTAGTGACCTTCCACGTGACCTCACTCCATTCAGCCAGGATGCTACTATAGTTTCTGAGACTGATTTTATTTATTATGGGAAGACCTAATGCTCCGTTATTTTCTCTGAAAAGGAAATTACACATATTATCATGCATACTGACTTCTACTGTTCTAACAAATCATTTCCCTTTTTGCTTTTAAAAATTAAAAACCCTGAAAGGAAATGCTACTAACCAATTTTATTTAAAGAGATATTTTGCCTTTTGTTTTCTCTGTTCCACAAACTTCTATGCATTTAAGGAAGGTGTAGGTTTATTACTGCAATTTAACCAGCTTAATAAAGTTCCCTGACTTTATATATTCCTAATTCTGAGTGGAGATACTCAATAAAAAAATAAAGAGAATGAAGAACAGAACCATCTCTCTGAATGTCATCTAGCGATCGGTAACTGGATCAAAATAAGAGGCTGCTAATTCTGTCCCAAGAACCAGATGAAGGAAGGGTCTAGTAATGCAGTTTATAGTGGTGTGGTCTCTCATTTCAATTTGAGTAATGCTAGTCACAATCAAATAAATTTCCTCTTTTCATAGTGGAATGTTCTTACTCCAATTTGCCCTATAACACCTTTGTTTCAAAACATAATTCAGTTGCAAAGGACATTGAGTATCTAATTCCCATGGGATTTAGATTATAATATTGAGTCAGCTGTGGCTGCTCTTTAATGAGACACTCGTTTTGTAGCTGCCTATAGTTTTGTGTCTGAGCTAGGCTCTAGACCACACCCAGTGATGTGCAAATGAAACGAACAAGCAACATGAACTCTGAAACTGCATTTACATCCATGACATTTTGCCTCATTTTATTGGCAAATAACAGACGCTCCTCTCTGTTCCTGACACTCAGCCCCAGCTTTCCACGGTCTCCAAATGCTGCAGCTTTTCCTACCACCTCTCCTCTCTTTCTTTTGCAAAAATAGTATTCCAAATGCCCCGATGCTTTATGGCCAAAGTTGCCTGGCCATCTTTTCAGACATCTCATGGGGTTAGCCAGCCAGAGGAGATGGCACCTGTTGCTTTCCTGTGGAGGAGGTGGACCCAGACAGCTATAGCAATGGCGTCCTAGTTCAAGGAAGGTCAGAGCCTGGTCTCTTTATTCACTGCACAAACTCCGCTGGGGAGGACCTGTTAAAACACTGTGGTCTGAATGAACTGTTCTGCAGTATTGCTTGAGACATAAACCCTATGATTGAATTTGCTATGGCACATTTTACATGCCAGAGTTGGCAAAGTGAATCAAGTCCCATTAGGGCAGGTTCATATTCATTTACCCTCCCTCCTGAACTGAATGATCTCCATCAGCTCAGAGACTTCCGTGCATGGCATCCATGCATATTGTAGATGGAGGCTTCAAACGCACTAAGCTAGCATGATGTTATAGATAGGCTAGATTCCCAAACACACTTAAATTTGTACTTCATATTTTGGCAACTCATCTGGTTTAATTTCTATATTATTTCTAATCATTTGCTTATCTTCATTAAAAATACTGTTCAATATCATTAACTATTTCATCTTTCAATTAGATAATTTTGCATGTAATTATGGGAAAATAGAATGGAAAACTTTTGTGATTTTCATACAGTATGGCAAATTGCAAACAATTTGTAGTAAATTAGGAGCTTAGTTGTAGGGTTAATTAATTTCTATGGGTTACATAGAAGATGGATTTCCAACAAGTACCTATTAAATTAATAATACTGACTCACATTTTATAAATCATGTAGATACACATCTCACATCTAAAACATTGAACTTTTGTTTTATCGAAATTTTTCTAGGACTAACATCTTCATTTGTATTTTAACTAGAGTATTTTTTTAGAGGACTTTAATCACATCATGTCACAACATAGATCATAAATATTCATAGTGTTTCATATTTAGGTTGTTCCGTTCCTAAACACTGTCTGTCTGTTGTTCCTGACACTGTCTGCATGACTGTTTTTCCAGCTGTGTTTTAGCCCTGCCTCTTGTTTTGTTGTGTTTTCTTGTGCATTCTCGTGTATTATAAAAGAATTGAAGAGGTTGTTTTATTTGCAAAGCCTGGTCAGCAGTTTGCCTGTTCACACTCCAGCCCAATGGCCCAGATGTGGTGCCTGTGACCCTGAGCTATGGGATGAGCTATGGACTGGCCACTCCAGCCTGACCCTCTGACTGGCATTCATTTTTCATCTGTGTGATTTCCACTTCCTCTTTTTACTGGAATAAGTTCAGTTGAAATAAGAGGATGCTCCCGCACGTCCTGTGAGCTCTTCTGAGATAGCCTTGGTCTGTTAGTGATGCTGTTAACAATTCTTCCATGTTTCTCTCTTCTTTTTAGTCTCGACCTATTCCCTCCCACCTCACTTCAGCAGTCGCAGAGAGCATCTTGGCTTCAGCCTGTGAGAGTGAGAGCAGAAATGCTGCCAAGAGGGTGCGCCTGGACAGACCGCAGGTACCAGGCCCTCGGGGTGGAGGGCGCCCCAGGCGGACCACAGGAACCGGGGCCTCAGGGTGGAGGGCATGCTGGGCGGACCACAGGGACCGGGGCCTCATGTCTGGGGCACACTAACCTTATCAAGTACTGTTAACTCAGTCTGATTTCTGAAGAAAAGCAAAAACTCTTGAATGGATTTTGAAGTACCCAAGGATATAGTTTGTGACTTTATGCATTTAAACTTGAGAATGCATGTTCACGAGACCATTAGAGATTCATGACAAAAATTTTCTGTGGTAAAAAATGGACAATTGTAGAATTAATGAGTTACAATTCTATGTAGTGTCCAATTTGAAGGCTAACTACTGTTTAAATAAGAGGTTCTCATTGATCATTTACAATCGTTTTGTAGATTTACTGATTGTTGATGATTATGGCTTGACTGTGCTCCTTCTGAATGATGAGAATGAAGCTGTCTCTAATTTCCTCCAGTTTGCTTCTAAATGTCACGGAATGGTGAAAACCCAGCATGACTTTGAAAAACTAGAATGCTATAAAATGGGGATATAAAATAATGAAAATCTGTGTCCTGGGATTCCTCATTAATGAATCATTTACTGGACAGCCATCAAGTGTTACCTTTCCACGTCTATCTTCTAAGCCCGTCTGCCCGTTAGGTGGACGTGTGCAGTGTTTATTGTGCCCTGACATCTCTGTTTGTCCCTTAGTTTGTCTGCATCCATCTCCCTTCTCATGGCTGGAATGTCTTTTTTTTCTTTTTCTGTCTAGCCCTCTTTCTTAGTTATCCACAATGAAGAACCAAATTGTGATACAGACGGTGCATTCCGATTTCAGGCTCTTGACAACAAACGATGTAGGTCCTTCATATTTCTAGTTGAGGTTGGGATGAGAAGACTAAATCGTTAGTCTAACTTTGTTTTCCCTAAGCCAATGAGGTTCCAAGAAAATAGAAATAATGTTTTTCTGTTCCAGACTTAGAATATCTAAAAATGTTTCAGAATGGCACTTCTAAATTTTATGTTTATTATTATTATGGCTTGCACTAGTAATTCTAAATAATGAAGATACGAAGCTTTTAGTTAAATGAAAAATACAGTATTAGCCTCAGATAATGTATAGGAAAATGCTGATTTTGACTTTACTAATTATCTTGGTCAACAGCATTTAGTCACATATATGTGTCCTCAGCAGAGACTTTCCATCATTACTATAACTCGGCAGTTTATCTTACTTAGAATGAGTTATCATACTACATAAAATACCACCTAGCATCGTGATTATGGTGGCACATTCTGGAGTTAAATTTACCTAGTTTGATCCCGGCTCCACCCTTACTAACTGGGACTGTCAGAAATCTGTTTGTCCTCTGAGCCTGTTGCCTGTGTGCACAGTCCCAGTGACAGCAACACTAACCTGCAGCAGCGAGGACCCGAGGGGACAGGTCTGCACTGGGCACAGAGCACTCACCTGGCATGCAGTGAGCACCTGGGATTCAGCCTGAAAAAGGTGTTGGCTGATGTTCTGGCCTTTCTATCCCCCCACGGGTGTCAATAAACTAGAAAGAGGCATTAATAGTACTAGTCAGATAAGGGAGTTTTGAAGTCAGACCAAGTCTACTTGCGAGATCATGATTCTAGAAACTGGAATGTTAGAATTCTGGAATCACACAGGCTGGTTGCCAGCCTGTCCCCCCAGATGCCACCAGGTCTACACTCTACCATATCCAGTGTTAGTATCAGTTGTGTAGAACCTCTCTGAAAATGAGAGGATTGAGTGTGGTTGTGCTCCACCCGTGGTGTCACCCACAGCATCTTCCAGAGCTGGTTTTCCGCCAGTGTTTGGTCCAGTTACTTAACTACTGTTGTCCCCACCCAGAAAATGGGGGATACAGACTTCAAATTCGTAGATATACTTTGGGAATTTAATAATGCAATGCAGATAAAGGCATAGTGCATTTAATAAGTTTATATATGGTTAGAGATACACCATATTCGCCATTCACTTGAATAGCTCAAACGGCAGGAAAATCCCACCCCCAGTATTAAATATCTAATAGATGTTCCTACTGTCAGAAGCTGTGATCATTTTGACAATCTTTAAATTGATCTCAGGCTTTCTTCCTGGAGCTGCCACGCATCGAAGAAAAACTCCAATAGTGAGTGTGACTTGTTACAGCTATCCGGGGAGCAGGGACTGGAATGGGTGGGGGCCTGGGGTCCTTGACACTCCTTCCCCTTTCAACCGTTTCCTTTTAAATGTCTTCATACATTGTGGTCATTTATTGCAAGGACCTGTCACCTGGGAATGGGGGAGTCCAATCTCACCCCCACATAGGCTGTTCTTTCCAGGCCCTACAAAGGTTCAGTGGGCTTGGGATTCATGAGGGATATTAAAGAAATGGAAAGAAATAGACATTCCATGATTTATTTGAAACCTAATAAAGCCTTAACTAACATTTTTTTCATTTAATATTCTCAACCCCATGAGAATAGGCATTATTATTATTATTTACAAATGAGGAAACTGAAGCTCAGAGAAGTGGGGTGATTTATCCAAGATCACCCAGCTGTTTGGGCAGTCAGAGACCTCCGAGCCCATATCACATGGAGCTGACACTCGAGGTCTCTCCACAGTCGTATACTTTCCATTGATGATGTTCACTGAGCGAAAAACCCATGTCCCAGAGCAAACTCTTTGTACTCATATAATTTGTGCTGCTGCTCATAAAGTTTTTGACAGGGCAGTTTTCTGTTGGAAAGCAGCCTGCTTTATTCACAAAGATTTTTGCCATCTTCCACATCTAGCAGACCAGGTTTCTTCAGTAAGTTACTCCAAACAGAATGTGTTTGTCTCAAAAGTTTATAACCTTATTAGCTTCAAAATGCTATAAACTTCCCAAAGTGTTTCACCTCATCTGGGATATGCATCGTGCACTGTTAAATATCTAAACTATTTCTTCTTCTTATGAATTCTGTAGATGTCATTAGGTGTGCCACACAAAGGCTTCTACCCAGTGACCTTGCACTTCCCAGCAGAGCGTGGAGACAGGGATGCTGTCCCCTCATGGGACCTAAACCCTCTTTGCCCGGCAGAGGCAACCAGAGATTTTTTGGGTGTCGGCAGTGAGATCAGCCTTTCTGTGTGCATTCTTAACCCTACTCACAATTTCTAGAATTTGCCATTTCAGGAATTGGTTATTGTGCCCCTGCCTTTCTGTACATACATAAAGTTCAAAAACTAGACAATTTAAATCTGGATTCTGTTGAGCTGCACACCTCATGCCCACGGCTACCTACATACAGAGCTGTAATTATGCATGTCCTTCAGAGATATGAAGCTTGATGAATTAATTGGATTTTATAAAGCCTTTTGAGCTATGAATACGAGAGGTATTATGGATGTGTTAACTACTGTATTTCATATGCCACCTCACATCAGAATCCAGACAAGGCTTGTTCCACAGCCCGAGCCCGGAGTCAAGCCAGTGGCAAGGACAGGAGCCTGTCACTCCTTCTGAAGTCAGATTTCACAGAACTGGGGTCAACCCAGTTGCCTTAGAGAATATATTCACCATATCTTTTAACATGAAGATCTGGAATTTTTATGTTATCTGGGAAATTGTTCCTCACTTTGACAATTCACCAAGATGGGCAAAGTCAGACTTCACTTTTATAATTCTGTGATGTAGCTCAAATTAATAGATTGTCTCTTTCTCTATATTTCATTACTACTTCCTTAAAAGCAAAGATATGTCAGTGTTCTTGGTTGCAATTCATCTAAATAGAGACACAAAGGCAGAAAGTGAGAGAGATTAGAACCAGCTACTTGCTGATCACTTACGGGAGCTTGTCTTCCGTGTGCACGTGGTTTGCTCTTTTGGACGGATGGCATGATCTATGTTTCATCTGAAGGCCTGCTGACTGACAAAGGCAGAGGCTTTCTGAATAATGGGAGAGCCCTTTGGTTTCCTTTCTCTATGCTCAGTTCTTTCACGTAAAGTAGTTTGTGGCTCTGTAGAGACGACATCATAGGACCAGTGGTCATGGAGGAGATGAGGCTCCGCGGAGGCTGACTCGGCACATGTTGCTGATAGAGTTGTGGCAGCAGGACAGAAGGACATCCCTGCTGGGCTGCGGCACGAGGGGAGCCCAGCAGGCGCCAAGCTACATGGCATGTCCATCACCGTGACACAATAAAGGGTGAGAAAGCAAGAAAAAAATACCAAAAACTGATGTTTCACTAAGTTAAAAAAGAAATCACTGCTCGTAAGCCAGCATGGAACCACTGGCTCAGGACGCAGAAACGTCTAGAGAGGCCAGAGTTGCTGCCACCCCGTTTTCTTCAGCAACAGTAAATTCTCCCCAGCCTCCAGCTCTTGGTGGCTTTCCCCTGTTCCTTCTGGGTCTGGTGAGCGGGCACATTGTCAAGGGCAGTGTCGCTGCAGGAGCAGAGGCGGACAATAGAGCCGGCTGAGTGTGGCGGCAACGTTACGGTTCTGTCTCATCATGGATGTGTTCGAAAACTATGTAAACAACATGGTCGGGACTTAATTTTCTGAGACAGGCAGCTTTTCTTTTATTTAATGCTGTAGTTCTGTGCTTCTGGTAACATTTTTAAACTTTAACAAATACACAACGAAGGAGACATTCTTCAATAGGGTTTATGCTTAAATTTAAACAATGCAGTAGTAACTGAAATAAGGCTTGAAATCTATTTCTGTGCACTTCCAGCCCCCACCCCCAAGTCCCTATTCTCCGTCATCCTTAGCTTTTATTCTACTCCTAGATTTTTCTTCCTTATATGTAATATTTTGGAGAAAGATCTGCATTTTTGGGTCTTAGAACCTATGTTTCAGCAGAACTCTTTCATCTAAAGGAGAAAATGTACTGTGCAGGAGGACAAAGCGCCGTCAAGGGCAGCTCTTGGGACACTTTGTGCTTCCTTTGCACTGTGTAATTTTAATCTATCTGAGATAGAATAAATTTCCAAGCCATCTG